TTGAAATATTTGAAAAAAAATACTAGAAAACCTGTCAACATGTAAACATACACATTTACTTGCATTGAAATTCAATTTCTTTCCTACTATATTTTGAGTTTTGAGTTGTTTTTATAATGGCCGCCATAACGTATGTAGTAAGTTTGATGCATCGTTAATTCCTTGTTTTTTTTCTTTCTGACTATGTAAAATTCCAATAGGAAATACAGAAAACAAAAGATTGTGCACACCATGGTGCTAACTCAAAATATAGTAGGCGACAAAAATCACAAATTTTATGAAAATGTAGATAAATGTTTATGTTTACTGTAATGGAGACATACTAATAATAATAGAACATAATAATAATAATAGAACATAATTCTTTTATTAGTTAAAAATTTGTACCCAGTCTGTTTTTATTTCTATATTTACATATAAGTAATTTATGATTACTATATTTTCAGTGCCGTTTCTTTTAGTCAAATAATCATAGATAAGACAGGGTAGATTTTAGTGACATTTTCGAATTCGAAGAGAACAAAGTGAATTTAACTTATGAGTAAATTCATTGTTTAAATCTAAAATCAGTTGGTGTAAGTGCTATTTGTGTTTTTGTAAGTATTTCTATTACAATCTATATATATATATATATATATATATATATATATATATATAACCTAACCTGTATTTTATTATTTAGTTCATTTAGTTCTTGTCTCCAGACAGAATAAGCTCAATTTAGTATATTTTGGGTTGTTGGGTTTATTATTTATTTATTATAATTAGTATATACTTATATTTTAACATTTCCGAAAAAATTGAACTGTTTATGTAAATACACTTTCAGATATTATTTTCATGTTTCGGATAAGAAAATACGTACGTGGACATTTTTTCTTTTCACTTTGAACAAAAGGAGTTTTTGATAGGAATTACAATACCTACCTTCTACGCAGGGTTGCCATCCTAAAAAAAGTAATCAGTGAGATTAACAAAATTTCTCGAGCTGCCTCTCTTTAACTGCAAAATGGACATGAAAGAATATTTTGAAGGAACGTTATATATGAATATTAATATGAATACATACAGCCTCTATGTTGAATATTGCGCTGAAAATCAAATACCAAATTTAATATAGATTTTTTAAAAACCCAAAAAAGATCAATGAGATACATGCAAAGAGTACCTGTTGATTCAGAAGAGAGGCACTAAAATTAAAGAATAGCAGAAAATTATGTTTCGACCTGGAAAATGGTTTTTCTATAGCATAAAATTTAACATGTAAAATTTAACAGCAAATTGTAAGTTTTTGAAAAAGTATTAATGTATTGAGAAAATTATACAAAAATGTTGTGAACCAAGGTACATTAGCTTACAAGAATAACATTTACAGCCAAATTGAGAGGAAGCTCTCGGGTGTACACATTTTTACCCCTTTAGGATTATTGCGTCATCTGGGTACTGTAAATCAAATGACTCATAAATACTTTTAACAGTACAAAGAGGCATCTAAAAATAATTCCTTATGCATTTTTAAAACAAATAATGTATTATTAGATATTATACTAAAAAAACTCTGTTAGACCCAAACTACCGGTATACCGGAAATAAACATTTCATCGGATCCTAAAAATGTGTTTTTACCATTTGCGAAAGTTGCAGATCTTACAAGGCTGTTCATTAAATAGTGTTTAAGATTATAGAAAAGCGAATTAAGATAAAAAAATTTCAAGAAAAGCACTAAAGGAAAAAAATAGTGTTAGCCTCGGTTTTTTGTTTTAATTAACACTTGCCTTCAATATTGAAAACCAATATTTTTCTCTTAAGAATACCTCTGTTATATTTTACTTTAGAAAAATAATGGCCTTATTTAACTAAACAGAGATAATTTTCTTGGAATTAAAAACTCTTAGTAAATTTTATCTGCTGTTAGAACAAAATCTGATGTTTTGTAAAATATTTGTCACTAATGTTCTATAAAAAATGTTTTTTTTGTCAAAATAAGTATAGGAACAAATAAGATAAAAGATTATATATTCTTAATTAACTAAGTAAATGAGTCTAAAACCAGTAGGCTTAATATTATAAAATCAGTAATAAAAATTATAAAAATCTTTACAAATGGTATTATAATAAACTTGTAATATTTAATCGCCATTAAAACATTTTTATTTTTGAACAATATAATACTCAACCCACTATCTCTTACTCTTACTATCTCTTTATCTCCTTTACAAAAATATATGGGTACAAAAGTTGGGCAACTTTTGACCTCATTTTATTTATATAGTTTTCGGAGAAAATTAAACAGTATTTCCAGACCGGGTCAGTCACTTTTTCACAGTTTTTGAAATATCTGTGTTTTCTAAATTTGAATGCAAGGGAAGTGACGAGTATACCAGGGTACTAATTAAATACATAATTTATTGGAAAATATAAGATTTATTTCAACTTTAAGCATATTATACATTAAATATCTTAAAATCAAATAATACCAAAAATCAGTGGCGGCTGGTGGATTTTGGGTATACCGATATCTCAATTATTAGATATGGGACCCACAGCAAATTTATATGAGTTTATAATGACATAAAATTAACAAGTTCTGCGCAAGCAGAATTTAAATTGAAGTTTGCGAAAAAAAGATAACCGAAACATCGAACATGGAACTGACGACACGGTACTGATGAATGGGACACAAATTTGAGTAGTACTTTACTGATATTTTTTATTAGTGGATGCTACTTATCAACAAATCACATATAGCCTTATATAAATTACAATGAAATATATATACGTAAGAAAATAACTACTCACCACATACTGAAATTTTGACTGGAACTATACGTGCATTCACCACCAACTTCGACGCTTGCAATGTTTTCAAGATGACTGTCGTGCAAAGGGCGGGCTCTGTAGGTAATTTTTTACCAAAACTTGAGTTAAAACGAGGACTGACGTTTGAACTTCAATATTTCGCAGGAATTTTGAATTTTAACATTGGACGCAGAACTGACTGGTCAAAGTGAGTACAAAGATTATCAATTTTTTTAAAATTGCTATTATTCGAATCTATGATAAAATATGAAAAATACATTATTTAATGTTTTATAGTTTGTAGTGAAATTAAAAAATTTAAGATAAATTGAATATATTTTAAAATAAAACCACTCAAATATTTTATTCAGGAGTTGTGACACGCCAAGGTACTGATGTTTTGAATATTTATTATGTTTTTCTACAAACGTGCTTTTAAAAAAATACATTAAAATTGGGAGGACAAGTTAAAAATACCTGGATATTTTGTAATATACTAAAATATTTACAAAAAATTTTAAAATACCTACTCTATTGACTGATGACATCAAGTTGTCCAACATTTATAGAATCACCCATATATTTAATGTGAAAAATGAAATTTTTTGCTGTGATGGTTTAAAGCAATCTAGCCTTTAAATTATACAAGTGTTTAATGAGCGAACTATACTTAGGTACCAAGGCACCATATTTTTTTATAAATAAAAGTCATAAAAGGCAAAAATTTTGTAAAAAAAAAATAAGAAACGGAAAAGATAAAATATGAAATAAAAAATTGGAAAAAATAAAATAGTTTTGCTTTTTATAACTAATTTACTAAACCATAATAAATTAAAATATGAAGAAATAAATAAATATTACTATGGTACCATTTTGTTGAATCGTCACCAAAGTTACAAAGGTGTGTTAAATTTTAGATCAAGCTGATACAAGGAAGTTCTTGAAAATTAATTACATAAATACTTTAAAATATATAGAACGGTAAAAACAGCGAACTTTGAGCATGGATGGACAAAAAACTAATTTAAGATTGCAGGGGAAGAGGTAATTTGGGCATTTCGCAAATTCAGGGTTAACGTCTCAATCGAAGCTTCTAACACCTATAAAATTTCCCAAATGCACAAGTGCACTGGACTAGACAATCGAACTAACTAACTAACTAACTTCGTGATAAAAGTGTTTTATTTTTCATCTTGAGCATATGTGTATTTTTCACTTGCAACTTCAACTTCAACTTTTTAGTTGCATGCTTTAAACGTGTGAAATTTGTTTTTCTAGAAAACAAAGCGAGATGCGAAAAACAGTAGACGCAAACAGGATTTTTTTAAAATTTTTGTTTATCTAAAATAAGTATCAAAACAAATTAAAAGCAGTGATGTGCCATATTTGAAAAAGGGTTTTTCAGATATTACAAAAAATAGTTATATAAAAAAATTGCAAGACTATCTGGGAAACGAAGCGCAAAAAATCTAATCCTGTATTATTTTGCACCCTGTATGATAATAATAAATTTGTACACAAATTTAATACCTTTCTTTGTGTATTTTTTCTTTTTTCCCAATGTGCCCACACTGCCTTATCACGCAGCCATGAGAAAGTCTAAGTAGGTACTTTACAACTACATATAATTATCATTCCTTAAAGTAGGTTATAGCCGGTTTTCATAAGGGTAACAAACCCGATGGTAACACATAATTATAATCAGAACAATAATCCCATCACGAAAATATCTCACATACTCAACATCAATGACTTTGCACATTTTTTGATTATTATCTTCGTATAGTAAGGTTTGAAGAGAAATAAAAAGGCATTTTATTTATTACAGTAAATATAATAATACACAATCTAGAAGCTATTCGAACTATTGGAATTTTTAATCTGTATTAGTGTTTTTCTATACAATACTCTGGTACTTTTGTTAAACACAATAAAAAACAAAAACATTATAAAACCCTGCAAAGTAGCCGTGATGCAAAATAAGTACACAAAAATATGAGAATCTTGTATCTGAGCTAACAACCCAAATGTCCAAGTTAAACCCAACATAAAAAACAACAGTAGAGCCAACCTCCATTGAAATAAACTCTCGTGGTTAATTTGCTCCCTACATTCGGTTTTTTGTATACAAACATTATACATTATATAGTTAAAAATAAAAATATTAAACACCAAGATTATAGCTATCGGTAACAAAACACCTAGATATAATCCAAGACCGGATGGATAACACAGACCGGCATTTCCTTTGGTGTAATTTGTTTTGTCTGTAAGGAGTATACAGGATACTGGTATTAAAGGTAGCAGCCATCCACATACATATGCTTTGACTAAAATATACTTTGGGGGACCTCCAAGAACTTCAACGAAACGCTTAAACTGTAGAATTGCTATGATCAACATCCAACAGAATTCTGATATTAGTGAGTAATGTAGGATTGATCCTAGTACTATGCATTTCGTTTTGTTTATATTTTTTTGTTTAAAGAACATATTGTTGATGTATAGGAGAATTATTTTTAGAGATATGGCAGTTACAAAATTTAGTAGTATGTGGTTTCCAGTATTTGTCCTCCATTTTTTGAATAACAACCCTGTCATCATTATTCCCACTATTCCCATTAATGATAAAGTGCAACATACATCAGTAAAGATTTCAAGCAAATGATATTTATCATCGATATTTATCCCTAATAGCATAGCAAAGTTTGTCAGATGTGGATACTCGCAAACTAAAAAGTTATTCGAGGATTTTCTTTGCTCCTCTTCTCTCCAAAAACCTGGGTAATCATTAATGTTATAATCCCAGTAGGCACAAGTATTATCCACCACATCAGTCATATTGTATACTACTGATACATTACCAAGGAAATCATCCTCAAAATCAGGCAACTGAACGCCAAAAACAATACTAGGAATACCTTTTTTATGATCATCAACGAATAAGAACGCGCTGTAATATATAGTGATGACCAATTTGGGTATAAAGCTCGTATTATCTTTGTTTAAAAGTTGTTCTAGAAGTTCATCGCTCAATATGACTGCAGCATCAATATTTTCTAAGGTTTTAACAGTATCTTTAACAACGTTAATATTACAAGATTTAGTGCAGTTATCAAGTGTTATTCCAGTTACATTTGTATCACTAAGTTTTATGATTACCACAGCAAAACGTTCTTCACTATGCATTTCATCGGTTTCAGGTTTAATCACTATTTGGTCGGTATAAAACAAAATTCTATCAGTAGCGTTATAATAGGTCTGCGACTTCTTAAGAACATCAGGGTTAACATTCAACAAATTACTTATTATTGATGTAGTTTGTTTTAAATTATACTCAGATGAATGAGCAGCCAACTCCAAAATTTGCGATATATAATTAATGTCTTCGGGAGTGAAACCTGTATAGTTATCTATTATATCCTTAAGTTTGCCCAACCTTTCTTGTATTGTAAGACTTTCATCCTCATAAATATATTTTAAACTTTCTGTTACAGATTTTTGTATATTCGCCAGAGAAAAGAAACCCACTTCTTTATAAAGGCAACCTAGGTCATTTTGATTTCCATATAGATCCCAGAAACTTTTGTGTTTATTTGTTGGGGATAATTTATAGGAGATACAGTTGTCATTCAATTTGCGGTTTTTGTTAAAAATTATGAAAGGATACTCCGGAGGTTTGGATGTCTTTATACCATATATTGTATTGGTTGGTATTATTTTTGATTGTACGTCTTGAAATATGGAGCTTTTAAAGAAAATATACACCAATGTTTTGGTGTTGGTCAAGTTTTCAAATAGTGGTTTGCTTAGGATTAAACCAGTTATTATAGAGGGATTATGTTTTATTTTCTCTATATCACGATCATTTAATTGGTATATGTTGTTATCTTTATCCAATGCTATACCTTGAGCTTTAAGAGTTATAACAGCAAAATTAGTCCATTTTTGTTTGGAAAACTCATAAGTCGTTACAATATTTATAACGCGTAGTAATCGATCGGTTGATTTAAAAAAATCCTGTGACTCGTTCAATATACCGTCAGTTATTTTCATAATGTTGTCTATTATATCCAAAACAAATCTAGCATCTGATTCAGTAGATTTTTTCTCTATTATAGAAACAAGCAAAGACACATCCAGAGCTGTTAAACTTTCGTAACACTGGCTCACTTTCCCTGCCTCATCCCAGGTTGCATTAGTTTCATCATCCAGTATATTATCCAGAAGGATTGTGTAATTAGAAGAATCTAGTATGGTGCAATTATCATTATCAATAATCCAGTCTGCCCCATCTATAAAATTTTCTTTGCAAGTTATGCGCATTCTTTTGCCAGATTTGAGAAAACAGTATTCGCGCACCAAAACAGTTGCACCAATTTTTGCTGAAGGTACAGTTAGATACAAATTAGTGTTAATTTTTAATTTCTTTCCTAAACAATATTCAGTCATTGTCGAAGATATCAAATTTATATCAATCTTTTTAGTTCTTTCTTCAAGTATACCTTTGTAATTTATATAATATTTAATGCAGTTTACATTACTAACAGTGAAATGCATGTTAAATGTTATTTCTTTAACTTTTTCCTCGATGTTTACTATTTTAAAAAGTCTTGGTGTGGTTTTGCCATCAAGAATATTAAAAAATGTTTTGTGTAAATTACTAGCATCTGTGAAAGGATTCACATCCTCAGGATAAGTTTTGTTGAAAATACCCACAAACTCACAAGTATTTGCAATGCTATATAAGGGAATATTTTTGCTGAACACTGGTGTTAAGTCTGTGGACTTAAAACCCATACAATAATAGTTCCCAGTAAAAATATCATTGTTTCTGATTGTATATGTTAAAGTTGATCCTGTTGTGACAGGCACGATTTGTGTAGCTATGGAATTAAAGAAGTTACATGATATTTTCGATGGTGATGCATCAGAGAAGCATGTTATCAATGGGTAACATTCGTTTTGATAGTAGAGTTCTTTGTAGTGTGTTATAGAGATTGTTATGGTAAGATCTGTAGAAACATAATATTCTATGGTTATGGTAGGCTCATATAAAACTATATCACGATTGTACAAGGAATAATGTAACTTCGTAGCATTATCCAATAAAATCCAACCTTTTGGTGTCATAGCACCGTACGTACAAGTGTAGTTGACATCTTCTGACCAAAATGAATAGTTTAAAGGTATTTTGGATTGCTTCCAATACCCGTCGCCATGTTTTACCTCCAAACCTATGTGACTCCATACTTGAGGTAACTTGGTGTAAATATAATTTTGATATGGCTGCAAAAACTCGAATAATTTTCCGTTGACATAAGTTCCGTACATACACGCGCATTTGGCATCCAAATTATAGTTAGAACCTATACATAAATTGCCATATTTGAGTTGGCAATAATCGTAATGCCTGTGATGTATTTGTTTGTAAACACATACAGCGTTATATTTTTCATTACAAGAAACTGCTTGAAAAGCATCATTGCCAGTATAAATAACACAATTTTTATCATTCAAAAAACCTTCATAGGTATAATAATACGTTAATTCGGTTCCGAACAAGTCCGAAATTTCAGTCCATTTAAACGGTTCAAAACCATAATTAGTGATGTTTTTCTCTAGAGGCAACCATATGGGTAAATATGGTATGATTAAATCCTTGTAGACTTCGAAGGGTACATTTCCTTTGTAAGGACATTGTGGAGGATACGAGGTATTTTCAAGGAGCAACATGCAAGTTTGCGAGCCATCATCTGAAATAAACTTCTCTGGACAAGGCGACAAATGTTTAAGAATTGGTGGTGGAAGATCACACTGAAAAAAATATAATATATATAATTTTGGAAATGTGAAAGTTTTAGAATATTAAAATACAAAATTTAGTTCTTTAGTACCTATTCATATATGAATATTGATAGGTACTTCAAAAAAGGATTTTACTGTAGAAGCATAATGATTCCAGTTTTTTTTTACATCAATGATTTAATACAATTTTCCTTTTAAATAAATGTCTTTATTAATTTTAGTGTATAACGTTTTTAATAAATGAAAATTGCATTTTGTTAAATAATCTTGAAAAGTTATTTAAAAGTTAAGCAACATTTAAATGTTTAGTAATATTTACACTTTCATGACTTCTCTGTTCTTTAAAAAAACTAATATTGTCTAAGCTTTCTCCAAAAACGATGAATGAAGATTTTAAGTTAAATATGTTTAGAATATAAAAATAACAATAAAATTACTTACATTAAAAATCGGTAAAATCGCAAGGCACAAAACATATATAGGTATCTTTCTGTAATGCATTTTTAATAACACTGTTATGATTGTTAATAAATTATATTACAGAACAAATCAAGCAGAAATATCAGCTTTATCATAGATAAATTATGGACACATTATTTAATTAAATCAAACATTTATTTGACAAACAAAATTTAATTATAAGTGTTGCAAAAATGGAAATGCTTTTATAATTTTAACGCATTTTTTCATAATAAGTTTTTCTCTTGTTAAGAGGGTTAGTCCTTTGGTAAACAAATGAGCTATTTTCAGAAAAAGTAGAGATTATCTTTATTTATAGCAGATGTTATTTTAATTATTACTAATCTTCTCAAATAAAGCATATCGACTATCAAAAATACAAATGAAAAAATAAGTGGAAAAACGCAATCAGATTAAAAGGGAAGGCCAACCGCTTAAAATTGTTCTTCTTGTAAAGCAAACATTAACACATCAAAGTCCCAATGAGGTTGATTGTGCTATATTATTATTTAATTATTTATTAATAATTAGATGATATTTTTGTTATAATAAATAAACCTACCTTTGATACAAATATTCTTATTCCATAATACAAAATATTGGATTTATTTTTATTTGGCACCATACATTTTATTAAATGCAGTATTTATTTTCCTGAATACTTAACCCAACCATTGTTATTGTGATACTAAAAAGATTTCTTTATTTTTAGCAATAAGAGGTAAACGTATAAATATTTTCGTTGACTATACTTTGACAGATACATAACCTGAAATGCCTTAAAGGCTAAATTTTCAAAAAAACTGCGTTTCGTACAAAGTCACATGGTGGTACAATGTATCCTGTCTTGACAATGTCATGCTGACATATGTAATATTTCCTGACAAAATATATTTTACAGTATCGGAAATTCCTTAATTTCCAATATGCAACGAGTAAGAGAGAGACGAATGTATTGTGATTGATTTGTTGTCCTTTTCTGTCTTGCTTGTGTCTATAAGAAATTACGAAGTTTTCGACACTGTATAATTTGCAAAAGTATACTTTATTTGAAGCAACGGATCGACGTGATTTGCATAGAAATAACATAGGCTACTTATTATGGACTTTTTGATGTTATACTTCTTTTGGCGCGTTTAGAATAAAATTTTAGAATGCAACGGAAGTGACGTCACAGCTTAACACCGTGTCATGTCTTTAAACGCCTGTAAGGAAAGCATGAAACTTCAGAGGTAGAGCTCGATTATTTTCTAAAGGCGGTTGACCTTGGTTGCGTAGAATGCTCAAATTCGTCTATTCGTGCTATTAGTTGCCGAACTTACAACATTGTACGGCCTTAGAGGCCTATTCCCTTTCTTGCTGTTCGTAAACATCGATTTCTTAACATGTATGTTCACCCAACGACAAGCCAAACATTACCTATGTTTAAGGTTATTCCGTTTCTCATATGTTGAGAGTCTTGACCTTGAATCTTTCTGAACAGCGATAAATGTTTTAGGACAGGGAGTTTCTTAGTTTTATAACCTAAAAGTCCCAGATCGTAAACTAAAATTGTGTTAGATAATTGTTTTAAAAATCATTGGTGATATTTAATATATTAAATGAACTTAAAAACAATTTGGGAAAATCCACAAATTCTAAAAATACTTATACGTTTTATGCTGAACTAGCCAAAGCACAGATCTTCTGGCGGGGCCATTAAGTCCATCCTTATATGGAAAAGGGTAATCATAAAATATCTTAAAATAATTATTTGTTACTTATTTTTACACACTTTTAGTGTATTGAAAATGGCAAGAAAACTACGCATTTCTCACAGGGGAGCCAGTAAAACAACTTAATTACTTTAAGGATAAATTACTAGCCGTAATAGAGGAAGCGCTGTGAAAGTTAGTGGTGGAGGGTAAGGTGGAGGTAATACCATCGTTGGAACTCTTCATTGACCAGCCTTTAAGGTCTGGTGGAAGGGCCCCTTCTACAACAGAGAGGCATAAAGAGAAAGTCAAACTCAAACTCTGACGAGTAGTGAAGGTGTAGAGGTTTTACAAGGTATTGATAAAACCTATAAGATTTTAAAATTAAACCAAAAAGTTTTAGCTCCCATGTGAAGAAAAAGTGTTTTTGAATGCATATTTTTTGTATTTTATTAGTTAAACTTTTCTTTGACTAATATTTTGTCTATATTTTTGAGTAATAATATTACATAGGTATTTGATATTTTATATTTGTTGTATTTTTTAATAAAATATATTTTTCCAAGTTATTTTTTATTCTACCAATAAGTATATACCTATATAGTTTTAGAGGTCGTTTTTAGACACTCTTGTAACATATAAGTCTTGACCTTCCTCCTCCACATTCTCTCTTCACACTCAGTTTTTTTTAATTTTCTGTTTTTCTCTAAATAAATATTTATTATTATAATAAAATTATTTTAAAAAAATCAGTAAAGCAAAATTTGTATTCTGGTAGGTATTATAATTAGTAAATACATTTTAATAATTAAAAAACAAATTAAACATATTTTTAAAATTACCAAAAAATATATTATTATTTGTTTGGTGTAAAACCATATATGATTTGTCCTATTCTCAATTATAAATAATTATTTATCATTTATAATTATAATTAATTAGGTATTAATTATGAAAAAGTAATTAATTTATAATTACTATGCTTGATAATGATACTGTACTGTATACTGTACCAAACATCGCCGCAATTTATGATTAATGCAAGATAAAAAACCTTAAATATTGTCTAACAGCACCTCTTAGGCAAGCGTTCGTAAACATACGTTTTCAAACATCATGTATGTTCACCAAACATCGAATTTTGGAAACGGAATAGCCATTTTAACACCGATGATGTTTATAAACATGGATGTTTTAGAAATTCTTCGAGCGCATGCGTCTATAGACGAAATAATTGAAAGGGAATAGGCTCATATGTTACGAAACATATGTAGTTCATGAACATGCATGTTTAGCGAAAGGGAATAGGCCTCTTAATATTGAATTTGATTTGGATTTGAGCTGTATGTTTTTAGTTTCCATTTATTTATGTAGGCTTAGCATCTCGCGCAGCTTTCGTCAAATAATAGCGGTTTATCAATCGCTGGAAAATAAAAAAAATGGAAAGGAAAATTTTGAATTTCCACCGTTATCGGTTTTCGAGCCGAAGCCTACCTTCTACTATAGGATATTGGGGGATGTTCGGCTTCGGCTAAACCTTGAGTTTAATTTAAGCCAAAGCCAAATGTTTTGCCGAAGGTGGAATTTTTTGCCGGACACTACAAATAGTATTTATTTAATCTCCAATTCATATCCTCTATCTATCATTTCCCTCCCCTTGACCCATTAGCTGACGAAGCCCTTAGTCCTGGAGCATAAAGCAATAAAATATTCTCCGTGGGAGTTGTTATGAAGGGATGATGGGACTATATGGGATAGCTTTTTTATACCTTTTTGAGTTGTGTGGTACCGGGTGTTTACCTTGAAAATATGTCTGGTGGTGTTTATGGCATTTCTAATCCAAAATGTCCACCATTTTCGTCATTTATTTATAAAATGCCAAATAATTAATTTTATTGTGCCCTTTGAAATACTTAAATTACATTTGACATTTTTTGACCGCGTATCGAAACAATTAAATAATTGTATGGGCCGTCAAATTTGATGCCCCATCAATTTTTTTAGCCTCTAGCAACAGTGATTTTTTTTAATTAAAACTGTTTTAGCAAATTTCAGTAGTTTCGTTGGTTGCTTATAAATTAAGTGTGCCTTGACTTAAGTAAAGAAAAATTTATAAATTTATCAATTTATGTTTACATAAAACTGTCAAAAATATTTTACGATTTTAATACTTTTTTGCTGTTTTTCTTAATTTAAGGTATGTTTTTGTGTTTAAATTTGATTTTATATAGTATTTTATTGAATTTAAAAGTATTTTTAATTTCTAAATACTTTATTTTAATAGTTCTCTTTTAAAATATTTACCATTACCTATTTAATTACCATTTTCTGTTAATTATAATTTATTACACTGGTTTACAAGGAAAAAACAGAAACCTTATTTTACATTTTTAGGGTGATTTTGGTGCGCTAAAAACCAAACACTTTTCTTATTTGGGCCATTCACCTAGATGACGGTATATTTTTGTTTATTAATTTAAGATTTTACTTAAATCAGCTTCGAGAGGGTATGGCAAATCCGATATATGCCAAACCCGATATATTGTTTGAAAGGTGGTTAAATTTCGCATCCAATGGTAAAAACATCGTTTTAATCGAATCAAAAATAGCTGAGTTACAGCTAATAAAAGTTTAAATTTCTTACACCCGATAATACACCACTGCCTTGTGTAAAAAAAACTGTTTTCGGATAGTTTCATCTTCCCTTCACAAAAAATCACACACTCAGAGAAATATCATGTCATGAAAAGCATATGAAATGATATTAATTTAAATAATCGGGTATATTTGATTCAAATAGAAAAAATTGTAGTTTTATATTCATTTACCAACAGTTTTACAATGTTTTTAAACACTTTTAAAGTGTACTCTCTTTAAAATATATATACAAAAAGAAATCTATTTATTTCATTGCCTTTTTCAACGTTATTTTAAAAATATATGTATTATACAATTGTTATACACCTTTTAATTTAATGAGAAACACCAATGACGCCAAAACATATTTGAATCCCGTTGAATTATTATCGTTTTGAATGATTCTACAACATTTTTTCTCTCAGTGCACGGAATGCACTATGCTCCAAAACTACCTTGTCAGAAGAGCATAATGCAGTTATGTAATTTATTTGGCTGTTCAAAGATAATGTGTCATTATTTATTTAAAAAACTGGCACATGAATTTTAAAATTGGTAGGAAATTTCGTATACCTATAGTTGTTGAAAATTAAAAAATAGTGAGAAAAATTAGCTGCTAAATTAAAAATGATAAGACACAGTTAAAAAAAACGGCGGGACAAATTCGCACAGTAGAATAGATTTAAGAAAATTTTTAAAATTAACAAAATT